AACTTCTTGAATTTCGGAGAAAAAAGATGTCGATTGTGATGGTTCTTCTTGTTTGTTTTTAGCGTGATCATCTGATTTTGATTGGAGACTATTTTCTTTTGTTGCAAATAGTTGATCAAATAATTTTGAAGCATAAATTTGAATATCTTTTTTGGAAGCGTAAAAAAATGTGTGGTTTTTATTTTAAAAAAAATCGGGATTGTGCAAATAACGACTCAATGATACCAACATAACGTTTTTACGATCTTCATATCTGGAGATTAAGGTCTCTGCAAAATTAGAACTGATGTCAGTTTCTGCACCCTTCAATTTCCTTACTAACGTTTCCATAATAATGTCACACTCCAAAATTGTTGTATTTGGTTTTTCCAAGCGAACTGCAGCGTCAGCAACGACTTCCAATAAGTCAGACAGCGATTTTAAGAAATCCAAGTCAATTTCAGCTAACATGTTTAAGCAGTTTAGCTCTTCGAGTGTTTTTTTTACAGCTTCTAAGCAATCCAGAAATCTTTTAATCATCTTAAAAACACTGTTCCATCTTGTTCGGTTGTCGAACAACAGTCCTTTGTCATGCGAAGATCCGTATATTTCGTGTATTTTTCTTTTAAGAACTTCATATCGAAACGATGAATATTTCAAAAACTTAATTAGTATTCGAAGTTTCTGTAGATTTTTTTCGATATTTTCTTCATACTTAATCTCATTCTCCGAATATTCAATAAGAAACTCTCCTTCAGACTCTCCATCAGTTTCTGTTTCTGTTTCAATAATCGATTCAGTTTCTTTGTTCACAATTTTGCGACAATCTTTTTTAGCGTATATCAAATCACAAACACTCAAATGAATTGAATGATTCTGGCAGATCTGATGTGGAAACTTAAATATGGTACCCAATTTCACCATCCAACTACAGCCATCCGTAGTTTTACCTGCAATATCTTCACTATCTATACCAAATTCTTTTAATTTTTCCATTATCAAAATGTTTAATGTTTCAGCAGAACTAGGAGATGGCAATCTCATCATTCCTAAACAATTCCTAGAACATTTAAATTGTAGTATCTTCTACCTCTATTGCTACATCATTCGTCACCTGTTAGTCCAAATTTTTCTCCTTTTGCTTTCAATGCAGCCAATTCAGCGATCATTAAATATTTGGCTTCAGCATGAAACATCTTAATTTTTTCTGAAATTGCGGACGCTGACTTAGGCAAACTATGCCCGTAATTTTCAAAAAGCATTCTTAGTATTTCAGATTGAGTTATGGACCTAATCGAATACCCATCAAGAGCTGTCAACTTGGCAAGAAGATCGTTTAATGACATTTTAGTCAAAACTGGTCTGGAACTGAATGGTTTCAAATCTATTTTCTCGCAACTTTTGACGTGTCCAATAAGGCCGTTTGTGCTGCTTCCTGGACAAGCGATTCTTTTATGACATTTTTTGCAATCTCCATACTTCTTATCATTTACCACAACTTTATTAAAGTACTTCCACGCTTCCGAAACCATTTTTTTCTATGAAAGAAAAATTATCAATTTGATAATGACCTCCCATATTTGTTTTTAATTTTATTTTAATTGTGAAAAGTTATCACATTTTAAGTTATTAAGTTATTTATTCTGATAGGTAAGTATAATTAAACATTAATTATTATTATTATTTATTTTCACTGATAACATTTTATTGCACAATTTTGCCACAATGCTCAGTGGGCCGGATTTTAGACTTATGGTGGACAAAATTATTTTGATCATACAAAATACGACACTACTTGTATAAAATGAAAGTTTTATATGTTTTATATGTTAAAAACTTACCTCGTTATTCGACGTTATTTTACTACTTGTATAAAATGAAAGTTTTATATGTTTTATATGTTAAAAACTTACCTCGTTATTTTACGACCAGTCTTTGTTTATATTATAAATAATGATCTTGACTAAACTTTTTTTTTGTAAAAGTAAACTACTGAGTAGTTAAAATATATAAACTAGTATCACATTCGCGTAATATTTTAAAAGTTACTGTTTATTATATCTTTGCTTAAAAATTAAAAAATTATTGCTTTTTATTATGCATTACATTTTATTATACCGCAATTGATTTTTGTGGATTTAAAAAAATACTAATACTAAAAAGATACTAATATACACAAAAGAGTTTTTGAAATAGTACAATGGAAAAGTATGAGCATGTTTTAATATATGGTTTTGAATAGAATAAACTTATTTTGAGGTTTTTTTCACTATCACCACCTGGCCCACTGTGCATTACCAATTGCTTTGCGATGTATATTAGTGTTCTTATTAAACGAAGAGAACACTTACATTTGAAACAATTTTTAAAATTACAATTTACAATTGTAAAAACCACGTAGAAATAAAATAAGAATTCAATTATTTTACGAATAAAAAATTGGTATTTTCTGAAAACTTCGTCGAAGTTTCTCGATTTGTCTCGAACTCCGAAACTCCGAAAAACCGAGAAAAATCCGTCGAGACGGAGTTCCAAATGGATCCACTGTTGTTCAGTAAAGCCAACGAATTAGTTTAATAAGTAAATTGTTTTGTTTTAAATTTAAACTGTGACAAAGTTACTAAAATTTTAAGCGAAATATAAAATAAGTGTTATGCACTTATTTTATATTTCGCTTAAAAACTTTCTAACTTTATTAAAGGTAGATTTATTAAAATCAGATTTTAATAAAGCTACCTTGTGACCCGCAAAGCTTTACTATGCGAACTCGGGGTAACAACGCTTCAAAAATTTGTATATTCATAACAATACCTTGTGTGCTTGGAGTAACCTTTATTCAGAATGAAATGAATTAAATAAAATGGCACCCATTTTATTTAATTCATTTTTCGAAAAAATAAATCATTTATACCCAACAAGATTTTCAAACAACAATTATATTCAACCAAAAAAATATTATTCTGCGACTAGGTTCTCGATAGCAATCAGAGGACATAA